TTTGTATGTGGTGCTGAGGATCGAACCCGGGCCGCACGCATGCCAGGCGAACGCGCTACCGCTTGAGCCACATCTCCAGCCCCATGGGCGGTGCAATCTTGAGGGCTGTCTGAGTACAGGTGTCAGTTTTCAAGTTGTACCTTGCAGGGTAAATGCTGTGGGTGACACTGTTTGGGGGAACATTGGTTTATGTAGTAGAAGGAGTTTTCTGCCAGGGATCAAGAAGTTAGAGCAAGGTGTTGAGTGGGTGGTCTCTCAAGGAGTCCACACCTGGCCTCTTATGTGTCCCTCTCCCTTGCCTGTGCCTCTGTACACCTTTCTGATTTCACATTCTGCTTCCTGCATTTTCCATTGCCTCCCTGGCTTGTAGCACCGCCTCCTCCTCTTTGAGATCTTAGTTCCTTTAGCCTGTTACCTTGGCTCTGACTGTCGTAGTCTTAACCTTTGTCCCCTTTGTGCCTTCCTGTGTGCTTCATGAATGCAGGGACCATGAGTTAAATGACTTAGATCAAGAGTTAAATGACTTAGACATTTTCCGAATGGCCAGCTGCAGCAATCGGTTATTAACGACTTCACTCTTAGCCATAAGGACAAAGATTCAACTTTGCAGAGCCAGTCGCAGGACAGAACTCAAAAGGCCCTGAGGAACTATTTAGAGCCATGGTAGCATCCAGAAAGGGTCTGTTTTCTACTCCCAGCGTGTGATCTGAATGTCTTTAAGTTTTCTTCCAGTTCTTGCTATCTAATGTCTCCTAAAATGCACTGAATGCTGTACAACCTCCTAGGAAATGATGGAGATGTCGTAAGTCAAGGGCTTTGATTCTAAGGTCATAGTCAAAGGGAACCCTTCCCACACCCCAGCAGTGGGAGTTCACCAGAAGGACCCTGGGGCTGCGTAATGGGTGGAGAGAGACTGCTAGAAGCAGCACAGCTCCAGTGTGCCTGAGACCCCCTGTGGCTTGGGGTGGGGAGGAGGGTGAAGGGAGCTGTGATGAGCAGGCAGAGATGAGGACTCCACATCAGCCTCAGGGGGCATCATGGGCATCCTGGAAAGGGCCATGACTTCGGGCTGGTGATCTTTTTGTTTTTGGAGGGGAATTCTGGAGATTGAATCCAGAGCTGCTTGACCACTGAACCACATCCCCAGCCCTTTATCCTTTTTATTTTGAGACAGTCTCATTACATTGCTGAAGTTCTTGCTAAGTTGCTGAGGCCAGTCTCGAATTTGAGATCCTCCTGCCATAGCCTCCAAGTCACTGGGATTATAGGCATGTGCTTGTGCCTGGCTGCTGATCCTTTTCAAAGCTTTGGCTTGGGGACTGTGAAGAAACCACAGGATTCCTCTAAGCTGTAGTGTTCCTTATTGACAAGAGGGTGAGGTGAAAAAACCTCTCCCAGTGTCTAAGATGTACTGAAGCTGTGACGATAAGTATGGAATTTGGATTGAAAGCTCAGCAGCACTGGGACATGCACACTCTTGTCTATAGGCCAGAGACTGGCCATGGCAGGAGGAGAGAAGCCAGGGAGGAGGCAGAGGTGCTCTTGGGTTTGCCCACTGAAGTCGCAGGATCCCCTGGGAAGGGGCTCTCTGGTACTCTGGTTTGAGGGAGATTCTTATAGTAATTGCAGTCACTTCATTGCTTTGAGGATGGACGCTCTTGATGAAGCCATGTCACAGACAGTAGATGGGAACTGGGCACCTTGACCTGGGGAGTGTGGTGTTATCTCTGCCAGGGGTGTGCCCATTTTATCGTGATGGATGGATCAAGACTATACATGTCAATGAAAACTGACACCTTTGTGAAGAAAAGGAAAATGAAGACCAAACTTGAATGGTTCACATTAGAATGAATGGTTTGAGCTGTGAGGCATCTTCAATTTATCTCTGGAAGGCCTGAGAAGCTCCTGCTTGGCTCATCTTTTTGAGATGCCTTCATCTGTTATTCAGAACCCCAGGACTCCATGCTCACTCACATTTCTACACATTTATACTCATTAATGAAGCCAATGATGTGGATGATCCAGAAAGGATTTGTCCTGTTTCCAGAAGGTTCATACTTGCCCTTGAGGCCATTAGCCTGG